TTATTCCCCTTGATTTGACCACCTGCATAACTCTTTCCACTTTATTTATTTAGTTTGCATCTGAATAGACATACTTTTCGCTGTTTTTACATGATCTTAGATCTTCACAGTTTATGTATTCCATAATTGAGTTTCTCTTAATTTTACTTCTCTAGTCATTTTATTTAAACCTTTTATCTTGTTTAAGTTGATTTTATTAGTACACTTGATAACTAACTCTTATTGTACGATCAAATTGTAGAATATATATATAAACTTAAAGCACTTGAAAGACCTCTTAATTAATTTATTAAAAAATTAAAAACAAAATACTACTTACATGCGAAACTTGTCTCATAAAAATAATTAACATGATACGTTATCCCTTTTCTCATCTCAGACGAGATTTTACAATTTTTGTTTCTTAAGGATTCCGGTTATATTGATCACTTAATTTAATTGTTTTCCTTTTCACTTGTCATAAAATATTTTTTCTCCATGTAGATTTAGTTCCTATTAAGCTCAGTGCCTATCAAATAATTACTTAAACAATCAAATAGGAGAAAATCCGATTGATTTGTTTCAAAATGAGATAAATTTTAATTTTGTCGAAACAGATAAAGAAAATCGAACTTGACACGGATGGAATATATTACTACTATTATCGATTTTTCCTTAATGCCTACTGCTGCTTTGTTAAGTATTAATTTCAACTCCAAAACTTAGGTAAATCTCATCATACATATTTGTAAATTCATCCGTCAAAGCTAATTTAGGTCATTTGCACTAAAACCCAAAGGAATATTAAAGTTTTACATCTAGCTTTCACACACATATATATGTAGACCTCTCTAAATTCTAATTTGACAAATTGACCACAAAAAAATTTAATTTATATATAATAATTGTTTTTTAATATCAGTGCAATTTAGATTTGATATAACAAGTTGTGTCATTCTATATTTCCTATCAGATCTGATGTGAAAAGTTAGAAGGGAGCCTCGGAGTGAGAATAAAATTATTTTCGTGTGACCTATATATAGGTCATAGGTCCAAATCGTGAAAGCAACAACTAATGCTATTAAGGCAGGCTGTCTACATCATACCCCTTATGGTTAGAGGCGGATGCAATGTATCGGCATCGGGTTCACCTGGACCCAATACTTTTGACGCAGAACATACATTTATGTGTAAAAATTTACTAATATTGTAATATACCTATATGAACCCATAACTTTTAAAATACAATAAGTTCATTGTTAAACACCTTAAAGGTTGAACCCATAAAACTTCAATCCTAAATCCGTCTCTGCTTATGGTGTGGCCTTTCTCGGACCTTGCGTGAACGCGGGATACCTTGTGCATCGTGTTGCATTTTTATTTTTATGAAAAATTATCAGTTTATTTAGGTCAACCTAACTAAAACTTAAATATAAAAAGGAAAATTTTAAAAAAGAGACTTGACCAGCACCTCACCTATAAATATCCATCCTTTTAATTAGCCCCTCTTCAATATTATCTCCCATGGCTTCCTTCTATTCTATTTGTAAAACTTTATCAACAATTCTCTTTACCTTCTTTGTGTTCCTAACCTCTGCTTCTTCATCTTCGTCTTCTACTTATAGTTATTTGTCAAACATAGTTGTGAATTCAACAGCTGAGTTTATTAATCATACGGCTATATCCGAATTTCGAATACTGAACCGAAGAGTTTTAGCCAAATGCCCGGATCCGAACCCGTATCTCAGTATAACTACAGCCACAAATTCAAGCCTTTCTGATGAAGGCTTTGTCACAGTTCATGTTTCTGGTGTTTTGCTTCCTTCAAAAGGCGATTGGGTTGGCATGATCTCCCCTTCATATTCTGAGTAAGTTAAAAAAGAATTTAAGTTAGTATAAATATTTGTTACGTTAATATATTATTGTTAGTTTAACATATGATTAGCATATTAATTATTACTTCAATTTTATCGAATTACCAGTTAATGTTTATCATAAAGATTTACCTATAATTACCTTATAAATGGATTATGTAGTTTTTTTTAGAAAATTTAAAATAACGAAAAAGAGACTATGTTTTCATTTTTCTAAGAAAATTATTTTAGACGCTATATTTAATAGCGTGTTTTGTTTTTCTGTAGTATGAATGTAGATTTTTGTTGTTGAAACAATCTCTCTTTTTCCCGAACTAGAAGAATTATGATTACCTTTTATCATGATTTTCAAAAGTACCTTTAAATTATATATGAATATTTGAGGTTCATAACATTTTTTCCTTTGTTATTGCCTGTGGGTCATTAATAAACCTTTACCAGAAAAATAAAGTTCAAAACATGAATACGTGATGGAGAAAGACATAAAACTCAACCAAGTGGTCCAGTACGTACTTTTGACAAATAGAAAGTATACTACTAATTATTTGCAATAAAAAGAAAAAAAAGAACATAGGGAGCATGTGAACAATGGAAGAAGTGATATAAAAATATATGTTCTTTATTTGTTTACTTTTATAGCATATAGTTAAAGATATTTATTGACATTTGGGTTGTTTATACCCATGTTTTCAGCGTATCAAGTTGCCCTTTTAACGCCATACAATATCAACAGACTGGTGATCTCTCTGAACTTCCACTCCTTTGCCATTATCCTGTCAAGGTATGTTCACTATAATAGAATTTCATATAACATATATATATATATATATATAGTCAGATCACTCTATAACAATATCCCAATATAATAAGAACTTACTATAAAAGTCAAGTTTTTTTCGAATTTGATTTTTATATAATGTTGTAATATATATCCTCTATAACAATACTTCACTATAACATACTAAAAATATCGAAACAAACGAGGCTATTATAGAAATGTGTGACTGTATTGTACATATATGTGTATGTGATATTTTAAATATATAAGTAACTTAGTACTTCGGATATATTATAAGTAACAAAGAAAGTTCCCAAGCGATAAAAAGAATTTTATAAGTTATATATCCCTTGTTTGAATAATAAGATAGCATGGAGCAAATGTTAAAAAACGAAGAGGAGATACAAAAATTTCACATATCCGTTATATTGGCAAAGTAATTTTCATGTAAATATGTAATTGGACATGTATATTACAATCTTTAAAAATCACTCATTATGGAAAAGAAAATAATACTAGAGGAAAGGAATTAAGAGAGATGAGACTTGAGAGATGAAACAAACAATGGGGCAATGATGTTTGTGGTAAGGTAGTGGGAATATGCCTACCACTTAATAAAGTGTGGGAAGTGGTCTCACACCCATAAGCGTACGTACCACTTTGAAATTGAAATAAATAAGTCATGCAATAACTAACTAGGTATGCATATATTTTGACTTACATTCATTTGCTCCCACTCCCCACTTTTCATTCTTGATGATTATTTAATACGTTCCCATTTTCTATGCCACCGTCTTGTCTTGTTAGGACATAATGTAATGAGCGGGTTGAACTAATTTTGGGCGGATTAAAATGGGACAGGTTAATAATCCGTTCAAAAATTACTTGGGTTGAGATGAAATGGGTCAAAATGTGTTTGGATCATAGCCCAACCCATCCAATTCTTACCAACCTTTAATTAATGTGTATTATTTTCTTATGAATTGTTTAATTATCAAATAATATTTTTTTATGGTCATATATAACATATCAAACAAAGCCGAATTATTTTAGCAAAGTTGCTCATGAATCACTTTGGGATAAAAATCAGCTCAATTTTACATGGATTGAAATGAGTTGAGTCAAAATGGACTGAATTAAATAATATGCGGATCAACGAGCGATCCAACCTCGGGCAGGTTGATGAATAAGTTTGAGTATCAAAGATTAATAATAATGTCTAAATTTAAGTAATGTTAGTTAAAATAATATTATTAAGTTAAAAGTTAAAATAATTGTAAGGAAAAATTGATTCTAAGTATATTTTTTTTAAAAGTGCTTTCCAAAAAAGTATTTTTGGAGAGAAGCTACTTTTTTCTGCTTCTCCAAAACGTACTTTTTTCCTCTAAAAGCTTTGCCAAACACTTCAACTTAAAAAAAAAAAAAAAACTTTTTTATGAAAACAAAGTACTTTTGGTTTGGAGAAGCTTGGTCAAACGGACTATTAATATGGAAACCAAACACACTCTACATTCTGATTCACGCAACAACCTGAGTGACATCATCCATTTGAAAACATGTCATAAGATAATAGGACTTAGAGAAAGCGAAATTGACATTCATTTCATGTATGTTTCACGCACGACTCATTTCTTGAATTATATAATTTTCAGGCATTTAAATTGATTTTTGTACATTTTTCGTTCTTGGATTTCAGATTAATTTTAGGCGTTTCATATTTAAAAAATTTTACTTTAAAATTTTTTTTAAAATAAAATATTCGTGAGCTAAATGACACGCACCCCATATATAGAGGTAACGCACTACTAAAAATTACCTGTTTACCGACGCAAGTTACCGACGGATTTCCGTCGGTAACAAGGCTTTACCGACGAAAATCCGTCGGTAAGTGGTTGGTAGGTAAATCCTTCCTCGGTAAAATGTATCGACAGAATCCGTCGGTAAGTACCGACGGACCCCATCGGGAAGCCATCGGTACTTTGCTGACAGGAGTTGGTCAAATAATTTTACTTACCGACGGATATCCATCGGTATATTATAAAATAATATAATAATAATAATATCAATACCGACGAATATCCGTCGGTACATTAAAAATAATAATTTAATAATACCGACGGACACCATCTGTAAGTTTAGAATTTTGATTTAGTAATATAAAAATAAAAATATGAATAAATTCATATTCCGATGGCCATCCGTTGGTATTTTCAACAAAATCTGAAAATTTGGTTCAAGAATACCGACGGACTCTGTCGATAAGTCCCTCGATAATTCTGGTACATTTTTGGAAGGCACTGCCTATATTTGGTTGCACCACCTGCCAACAGAATATTACAATACAAACTAAAATGCAACCACACAAAAACTCAACTTAACAACAAAAAACTTTATAATCTATATCCAAATTATCCCATCAAGCATCCAAATATCCAAATTATCCCATCAATCATCAAAACTATCCAACCAAACATCAAAACGTAACATTCAAAGTTAACATCCAACTAAACAACAATCCAACCAAACATAAAATCACTCATCTTCGGGTTCCCCCTCATCTTCTTTATAATTTGTATTATTTCCATCACTTTCATCCTCTTTATCAAATCTTTAAAGGCATGGATTTCCCTAGTATATGTATCAGTAACAACTGCGAAAGATTATGGAACAAATTATTCTATATTACTTAACACTATCTGGGGGAAGGACAAGAAATGATTGAAAATTTAGGAGATAACTTATGTGACATCTGAACTATCGAAATTCTTTAATGTTTGGCTGATTAGTTTCTTTGAGTTGTTCTTCTTCATCAATTAACCATATCGCAATATCCTTCAAAACTACCACTCTCATGCAAATCCAAAAGCCCAACACTTTAAGAAAATAATATTGGTAGGCTAAATAACTAGTACCTGTAGTTCATATAATTGGAGTTGGAAAAGTTGCTAGCAGAATCAATTCTCACAATAAGAATGCCAGGGATCTTTGTTATTTCTTATACTGCAGTATAATTCTGTAAACAATAGTGTTAAGGGATAAAAGAAATTCATAGGCAATTAATTTATTTAAGCTGTTAGTTTAGACTTATATCTCTAGTTTTCATTTACCTGTAGCCATATAACAAGATGTCATTGAACTAACCGTGTTCATTTGTTCTGAAGGCTACCATTTTTTTGTTTCAATCCAATTGGATTCAATGCCGCAAATATTCTTCAATGGTTGTAGCTTCCTATAATAAATAGTATGTTATATAAATTAAGTTATCTCTAAAAAGAATATCTAGTCAAAAAAGTTAATAAATATAACTTACTCCTCAATGCTATCATACAACACACCAGACCTTTGCACTGGTGGAGGATTTATCTTGCGATGGATGTGCATCACCTTGACATTATAAAAAAAGGGTAAGGCACAACAAAAAAAATTATTGACCAATAAAATAAGAATCATTAAGATTTGATTTCCTTTTATTAAATTCAACTATCTAAAGCAACATTGAAGAGCATGGCAAAAAAGACCGCACTCATAGACTCCTTATTGCACAAGGATAGAAATAACTTGTCCGTCAAAGGATAAGAGTGACGGCCAGGTTGCTCCAGTAATTAATTCATAGATAAATTGCTCAAAAGTACTATTGAAATAGTTCTGGATAAACAAAGTCCAAACACGTTTGTACATGTAAACAAAAATACAGACAACTCCAATCATCCTTAATGATAAAAGATCTTCCAAATACTACCTAATACAAATATACAACCTCTCAGTAGAGATCCTTCTTTTCAAAACCCCACAACAACGAAAACAGAGGAACCTACACAACAATTGAACCAAAATATAACCCAGTACTTTTAATAATATATTGATTCAAATTCTAAAGGCATATCAAAAATAATTTCGGGTACGAACTCTACATTAGAAAGTAAACAAAGACGATTTAGGTTAAATAAGAGTATGATAAAATACAGACCTTTATTGTTCGGATTGCGCCGAAATATTTTGTAGAGATGATGATGATGAGAGGGAATTGAGCCCTGCTATGATGAAGAAAGGAAATTAAACCCTAATTTGTGAGTTGAAGAGAGGGAACTAATTGTGCACTTTGGAAAAAAAGGGGCGAAAAGAAGAGGGAATTTTTCCCGGTTCCATAAATTTGAGTCTAATATCCAAATTACCCCCTAATGTGCAGATTAAAACCTATAAAGGTGGTGGCTGATATCGTCTTTTAGATCTTTCTTTTCTCTATTTTTCTCTTTCATTTTTTTTTACTATTTAAATTTAAAAATTGGAAAATATAACGAAATTACTAACAAATATAAATTAAAATATAGAACAAACTTAAAACAACTCATAAAACTAAGAAAAAATGTTCAAGTAATTTTCGGGTTATAAAAATTGTAATTTGTATTTAAGCTATTGACTAACAAATGTTAAAGCAATAAAAATAAGTAACTAAGTAAATAAAGGTATTTTTCAATAAGTGTCTAATGTGTTTCCTATAATTTTGCCGAACTATTCTTTATTGATCATAAATTCTCTCATAACGTAATTATTTCTCGATCAAAAGCAGTATTTTTTACAATTATTCTCTCAAACTAACTCTAGCTAGCAATTCAAACGACTCACATCAAACGCGCCAAAGCTTCGTTATCTCTAACCCCTCTTTTATGTATGTGCGATTAATCTATTAATTATTCCTCAAAGGTGACGTTGTTCAACAAGAACCTAATCTTGTAATCTTATTCAATAAAGACAAGATATAATAACGGCATATTTAGTTAAGAGCTTTTCAATTAACTGTAATCAAAACATAGTTGAACAAATAGAGTTTGAAGAATGACTCAATTTATATTGAGGTTAGAAATAATCGTACATTATATCAAATTGTTCATTTTGATCAACCTCCTTCACTTTTATGCAACTTTTTTTTTACAAAATATAAGGTGAAATAAATAAATAAATTAGAGATTATTAACCGCTACATATTATATTGAATTGTGGTGATTTATAAACCTCCACAAGTTAATACAATTTGCGGAGGTTATCACAAACCCCCCACAATAAAAGTGCCACAAAAAAAACTATATTGTGGGGTTGAAAGAAAATGCCACAAAATGACCTTATAGTGGGGTTTCTTATAACCCCCACAAATTAGCCACCACAAATTAGCTTATTTCTGATAGTGTACTAATGCACTTATACTTAGAGGTCGTTTGGTAGAGTGCATTACACAAAATAATGCTTGCATTAGTTTTATGTATTAGTAATACCTTGTTTGGTACACTTTTTCAACTTATGTATAACTAATACAAGCATTAGTTATACATCCTATTTGGTATTATCTTGTGTATAGCTAATGCATAGCAAAACCATGGTATTAGTTACCAAGGCTATTAATGCATGAATTAGTATGTCTAAAGATAAAATTATCTTTAAAGTCCCTTAAAACTAAAGAATATAGAGGGTATTTTTGTAATCAACTATTTTTTTAAAAAATTATGCAATGCATTATAGTTTTTAATAGACCACACCAAACAATGTATAAAAAATAATCTCTGCATAACTAATGCTTGCATTACTAACACATGCATTACTAATCCATGCATTACTAATACACCACATATAGCATTATTCTTATACACCCTACCAAACGACCCCTTAGTGTAATGTCAATCTATAAGCTAATTACAACTAATACACTTACTAATTACAAATAATACACTTCTACTTAGTGTATTATCAATGTAACTATCATCTGTTGATCCCCGAATACGATCCCGACTTAATTCCTTGGGCTTTTACTCAGACTTCAAAGCTCCAAATCACTTGAATTCATTCCATAACATCTACATAGCTCGGAATCACTCCTACAAGGCATAAAACACACAATTAGTGCAAGACACTAGCGATTAAAGCTCAAACTCAATTAAAGTGCAGTAAATTTGAGTGTAATAAGCGACTAAAATACGTAATTATAGCCTATCATCAATTATCAATTTAGAATAGATCATCAGCGAATCCACTTATACTTAATGTAATTATCAATTTATAAGTTAATTATCACTAATACACTTCAACTTTATGTAATTATCAATTTATAAGCTAATCAATCGCTAACATTTCTTACTGATATTACGAATACACTTATACTTAGTGTAATTCTCAATGCATAAAGCTAATCAATCAGTAATAGTTCTAAAGACTATACTAATACACTTCTACTTAATTAGCATAATTATCAATGTATAAGCTAATGAATCACTAGCATTGCTTCACGATAGCACTAATATTACTTAACGATAGCACTAATAAACTTCTACTTACTTTAGTTATCAAACTAAATTAAAGATAGACAATCACAAACATTGCTCACAAATAGCATTAATAAACTTCTATTTAGTGAATAGTTATCAATGTATAAGCTAATCAATCACTAACGTTACTTCTATAAGGATGCCACTAGTTCACTAATACTTAGTGCTATTATCAATGTATGTAGGCTAATCAATCACCAACATTACGTATAGATATATTATTAATACACTTATACTTCATGTAATTATCAATCTACAAGCTAAATACAACTAATACACATTTGCTTAGTATATTATCAATATGTATAATCAATTATTAACATTACTTAAGGACACTATTAATACACTTCTCCTTACAATAATTATCAATTTATAAGATAAACCATCACTAATATTTCTTATGAAAACGACTAGTACACTTCTTCTTAGTATGTATTTATTAATGTATAGGTTAATCAATGTAGTTAAGGATACTACAAATTCAATTTTACTTTGTGTAATTATAAATTACTAAGCTAATTACCAATAATATATTTTTAAGTAGTGCAATTACCTCCACTTAGTGTAAATTTCAATAAATAGGCTAATGAACCACTAAGATAGTTAAGTAAATACTTACCGAGGGACTTACCGACGGCCTCCCTCGGTATTGTGCAATAAAAAATAAAAAAATAATTATGTATAATATTATATATTTAAATTACCGACGGAAGTCCATTGGTAATAAAAGATAAACAAAAAATTATGTTACAATAATATTATATATTTAAATACAAAATGTTCCGAGGGAGTCCGTCGGTAAATTACCGACGGAATCCGTCGGTACATCCCATTTAAATTTTGACCGTCAAAATATCATTATATAGGACGGACTTCCGTCGGTTCTTTTTTAAAAAAATTAAAAAATAAAAAATTCAAAAGTAACGAGAGACTCCGTTGGAAAGTTCTTCGAAAGACGTAAACGTCCCTCCCCCCCCCCCCCCACCCCCCCCCCCTTAAAACCATGATCTTAATTAGCTAGTTCGTTTAATTTTATGTAAGAATTTGTAGATTCTTGTAGAATATTTTTCCTATTTTCATTAAATAGATATCCATCCGACTATTGGAATATACCTAAAACAACTCTACACACTTAATTTCTCCTTCCGTTTGCACCACGTCTTGTTAATTTCTCTTCGATTGAATTCATAGTTTAAAGCTTTAATTTATGCATGTTGTAAATAACATTTAGTGCCTTATTTAGGGTACGGAGTATAACAACTCATCCAATTTATAGGACCAAGCTTATTCACGCCCAGGAGAAAAGTATTAGTACATAAAACCAAAAAAAGAAAAAGAAAATTGCTTTGTATTTAATTTGTTTAGTTTCTTAGAGATGATTTGGTTATTATGGCAGGCACAATATTTAAGCAAAGATCCAGGTTATCTAAGATGCAAGAAGAAAGAGTGCAAGAAATATGTGAAGGGTTCTTGTGTTGAGAGAAGTTGTAGCGCTTCTCTCTCATTTCACGTTGTTAATTTCAGAACTGATATTGAGTTTGTCCTCTTTGCTGGTGGATTTGCCACACCTTGCATCCTCAAAAGATCAAACAAATTGAGTTTCACTAACCCTAAACAGCCTTTATATGGCCATCTCTCAAGCATGGACTCCACAGCAACTTCAGTAAGTACTATTTGCATAGTTTTATATGTTTTTGTTTGGCAGGATAAGAAAATTATACTGGCCGATTTATCCGTATTCATACCACGTAGGTACGTATATTAAATGGAGAAGCGTTCTTTATTAGAGATTTTTTTATATTTTATTTTAGAGCGCGAAACTGAAACTTCATGTTAAAGGTGAAATGATCTCATCCTTTCCTTGATGATCTTCAGTGGATCGATCGTAGACCGATTAACTATTATCAGTTAGAACAGTTCAATTCGAATAATTTATAATTGGTCTGGTTGGACTAGGAAAATGAAGTATCTCATTACAATTTGTTTTAGTTTTTTTTTTTTTTATCGTTAGAACTCTTTTTAAAATCGTAAGTAGAAATTTTATCTTCCAATTATTACAAAAATGTAAGTTTATTAAGTTGCATTGTTATTACTTAAATCGACCTTGGACATATTTTACCAACAAAAGTAGTTCTATTTCTTGTTTTATTTATATGGAAGGGCAAGATATTGTAATAACAAGAATGAGCTCTGGTTCCTATTTTAATTGTTTGGTTTCATTTTAATACCAGCTAAAGTTCCCCTTATTGAGCATAAGTAATGTTTTCGTAATACGTAATATTAGTTTGACCATTTGTTTTTCATCAAATTTAGATGAGGGTAACATGGGTTAGTGGGGATAAAGCACCTCAGCAGCTGCAGTATGGAAATGGAAAATCTGTAACATCAAAAGTTTCAACGTTTACCCAAAAGGACATGTGCAGTAAGTTTCTTCTTCCAATCCATATTCATAATATGTTTCCTTTTCTATCCGACATTACTTTTCACTTGTAATTAGTGGCTGTAGCAAGATTATACAACTAACGTTTGTGTTGAGGAATTGACGACTACAATTTCAATTGCTCCGTACAACTTATATCGTTAATTCTTTAAGGTCATCAACAAGTAAGCTATATGGTTAAGGTTTAAATGAGCTAATAATTGCTTTTCTGTTATCCATGTTATTTATTTGCACTAGCACTTAATTAATCCATGTTATCAAATTTATTGCTTTTCATCATCATTCTTTATGTTTTGGTACTATCTTTATCCAAGAGGAACACAGCAATGAAATTTAATTGCATGCCCATTTTGGGCCTAATTTTGTTGTAGGAGTTTAAAATTGATTTTTTTTTTCT